CACACAAAGGCCCGAAGCAAACTGGGTATTTTCTATACAAGCCTCAGGCAGAATTTTCTCATAGTAGATCCATCCACATTAGATGGAATCTGAAGCACTTCATGTTGGATCCATCATGCAAGATCCAAACAATGATGTGTGATGCATTGGTATTACCGTAAAGGGTGGTCATGCATGTTCATTTCTCCTCCAAAAGCAAACCAAGTCCAAGCTCATTGTTCTGATGGATGCCACTCATAGGTACCCGAGCAAGAAGGAAAGTATTTAATCAGCATTTAGTAGTGTCGGCAGGGTGAGTGCCATGAAATAATTGAACTTTTGTGGAGAGGATGATAAGATGAGGCTGTTCACCATTGCAAATTTCCTTTGTTTTTTTGGTTGGATTGGTGTTTAGATGTATGTAACTCCTAGTAGAATAAATGGGAATTGAGTGTAAAAAGTAGCAACACAGGGACAGGATGAGAGAGCTCACCAGGTAAAGTCTAAGTGATTTTATACCTTCAGTCCTTTGAGTGGAATCAGAGGCATCTGTGAATGCCATAACCACTGTGACTGAGGTGCAGGTAGAAATGCCATTCCAAGATCTCTGGTCTATAAAAAAAAAAAAAAAAACAGGACCCAAAGCTGAAATATGACTGAATATCCCAATTGTCCTTTATTCAAAAACATGTATGCAAAACTCCCTGTACCCAGTACCTCCCAGCTGTTCCAGATGAATACCCTATTAGTTAAGGTAATTAATGACTCTTAGGTTATATATAGGTTAATTTGTTGCTGCCTTGGAGACAGAGTCCTCTGTTTGACCATATAAAGACTGCACAGTTTTTGATCGCTATCAGGGCTGGTCTGGATTTGAACTCGCATTCTAGTAGACAAACTTCCTAGTACTCCACAGCCAGTTGCTTAATCCATCAGTCACTCCGTTCCATTGCTTAGGAAGCTGTAAGCCCCAGCTAGGTTTGGCATTGGAAAAACACCCCCAAAATGGATGAGATATTTATCTAGGTGGAAGGGAGGGGGTACTGGCAGGAGTCCCTAGGTAAAAGCCTGGGCTGACTTTCTAATGTTTTACCCCTACCAGTACAAACATGCTTTGTTATGAAGGGAATTACCCCATGATGAGCTGTGGGCTTCCCTTGCTGGACTGTCACGTGTACCCCAAAAACATAGTTCAAAGCTAGCTCCACTCCACCACACAGGAGTTCAAAGCATAGGCATGCTTTAGTTGTGCTTTTTATACACGCATACATTTACTGGTATATATTTGAATATATAAAGGGCACTTATCTGGAGACCCATACTTCCAAAATGGAAGCTACCAAGCTGGCTTGCAGACAGCAGCATTGAATGGTTGCAGTGGAATCGGTCTGACTTGTTGGATTTCTCCGCTGATAATTTATTTGTCGAATATACTGCATTAGCCTCAGCTTCTTGACTTTGTTTCGGGGGGGGGGGGGGGGGG